ATCCAAGACACAAATCTAAGTAAAACACAGTATAAACAGAGTTTGCATTTTCCTCAATTTCAGAATAAATTGGAATATAAACGCTCAATTTAGTATTGTCTATTAATAGTACATCGTCAATATATCTGAATGTAAAATTAAACTACTTGGCATTTTTTTTTGTATCGCATGTTTTTAACTAACTTCTCTATGCATTCATAGTCATATGGAATCACAATATATTTCCATAGGAAGGTCGATACTTTGTTGAAAAATATGTCCTCCAATCTCAACATGTTGTCATTACCAAATCTCAGTATACTGAAAACCTTCATTGTAGACGTTTCGCGCAATTCTTATTTCTCAAGAATGTAAGTTGAATCGTGTCCGACCACTATGGATTTGTAGAGACTAGAACCACTTTTAATAAAAATATACTTGGCGACGAATGCTCTAATGTGATCCACCCAGAACAATAACCTAGCTGTTAAATTTTAGCTCGTTCGTATTAATAAAAGTGCAGCTATGTAAGCTTTCCTCAATGCTAAATACTCATAACAGGCTAATATAATGTCAATAAAATAATATATAAATAACATCGAATACAACTTTCTGATAACCTTTATTGTCATTTATTACTTTTGGTATCCTTCTTTAAATACTTCAACATTTATTTGTTTCAATTTCCTACAACGCACTACATACGCATAGTCTGAATGAAATAACTTTCCAATAATGGGAATCAAGTGTATGGCTAAGATAGTGTGTGGGGTCCTGAATGTGTTGCTTTAAACTGTTGGGTAGATCTACAAATAGTTTATTATTTCTATCACTATGATAATCTACATGAACATTCATATCACCGACAATGAATACGTGACCAGATTTTAGCAAAACATGCACGAGGTGAACTGCATGCTTTGAGAACTAAAACCACGTGGTACAACCGCCTCCATAAATTCATATGACTACGTTCCTAAGTTAAAATTAAGGTACACCCCAATTTTGCTCAATAAAGAGATATTCAAATTAGGTATTCAAATTAAACACTGCAGGTGTGATATCCCCGTGCTAGCATCTTCATCAGATTTCAACCATGTCTCGGTGATCAGACATATATCGATCTGCTCTTTGTTAATAAAGTAAACAATCAAATTAGCCATGTTCTGACGGACTAACTAACATGTAATTATGACTGAACGATCTGTCAACAGATAGTTTGTGATGTTTGTTAACCAAGTCAGCATACTTACACTTAGAAATAGTAATAGTGTTGGCATATACTTTCGTAGATGTATGGGTTCCGAACTTGTCGGGTAAAAAACACGGGAATTTAAACACACTTCAATTCGTCTCGTAGCAGCACTGATATATGACACTGTTATATAATTTTACAACACAGATAATGCAGGGTAACGATAGAATGGCATTTTCCTGAACTGCATATGAACAATTTAATAACTCCTTTGACATCAATACCGATATAATGTTGAACTAAGATCGTCACCAACAGTGTGTATCTACTAACAAAAACAATTTATCTATTTTCACTTTTTGATAGAATTGTTTGACTTTTTCATAAATGACCTGTTTTTAGTAAGAATTATTGTTTGATAAAGGTTATTTGTTTGTAAGTACAATTATTGAATCCAGTAAGCCCGAGGTCTTTAATAATACACTCATAATAATATGACTTACAAGAAAAAAACACACTATATGTTGAAAGCTTTACCCACGGGGACAACAGCATAATAACTACCACGATGATCATATCAGGGAATCGAGTGTTTGTAAAATACAGACTTTGGCGGTTCTCTATTGATGCACGACTCAAGTTATGGTTTCGACAGTATACTTCACGTCATACTTCACCTCAATCGCATGAAAGGCTGGATCACGCTTGTCGTCTGCGTTTTATTTATATTGTGATTTGCTTTAGGCACAATGTTTAATGATTGTGTAGTTAACGTACTCCAAAATGAGTATTCGCCGTTTTCGATTTCATTAGACATTATAATTGAGCACGAACAAGAACCAACAATATAGCATAACAACATTGGCATAACACACAAAATGATCACATCACGTGACAACGTATAATTGATATAGTTCATAATCTGCAATATGTAATGATGAAAACAATATTCGACAACTATTTTATGCTTCCCAATTAGCCAACATTAAGTAGATAATGGATATTTATTGTAATGTTCCACAATGGCATACAATTATTAAACGCTACTGTCAGTTTGTTTACACAAACATAAAATGGTAGAGTTTGTATCATAATTTTCAGAGGTTTTGGACGAATGGCCTTTATTGCACACGGATACGATCGATTTATTCCTTGTACTTCGATGGGGTATGGAAGAATGCGGGTTACAGACTGAGCACTGCAAATGAAAAAGATGAAAAATAATGATTATTTATTGACATACTTAATTTTGAGAAACCTGACATTATAACACAACAATAATTGATAAATCTTCCCACAATTCCTAACTAAACCATTCAAGCAATTACGTAGCTCTGAATGCAATAAATAGTTCAGAGAGAGAGAACTGAAATAATATGGTTGGAACTATGTCATGTCATACGCAGATCTTCGAACTAAAGTGGTAAATATAGAAGTTGACATTTAATCTGTTTAGGAAGATTTTAAGGCTTTGTTGTTCATTTCAACGGTTAATAATTTGTCATATTTTGGTAGCCTGGGTGTGAGCTGTACACTGTAAACATTAATATGACACCGCACTCAGTCTTGGTGGATTTGAGGTCAACGCGTTCACGCGTGCTGAAAAACTTGATCAACACCAATAGAATTCTCTTCTGTTATCGAGTCCATTCTTACGTATACCATAGTTGCGTAGATCAGGGAAATAGACGCGATGGCGACAGAGATTAGAACTTACACTATTTTAGGTGGAAAACAAGTCTCGTTCTGCTCTCGCTCTTAACGAAACTTAATTGAAATAATCAATGACTATTCAAATTCCCACCGACGTATCTTTGATAAGACTTAACTAACATCTACAGTAATATGATATATTAAAACGTAGTACCCATCTCAGCTTATGCGTTAACATTTACTAATAGGTATTTTCGATACATAGATATTTCATAATTGATATATTTCTCGAGCCCGCTAAGAATTATAGGTTTTAACAACATCGGGAGAAGCATGTCGCTAAACCGATTCTATAAGTAGCTTATCTACTCTTTAGCGCATTCATAATTCCCGTCAAAATGTCGGTGGATATTGTTATATTTCATGTATTTTTTGACGCATTTGAACCAATTGGGTATAATTTCCCATTGGTTGAAAAATATTAAAAAGTTTGCAAAAATATATACGTTTTAATTAAGTTAATAGTAACAAAAATTTGCGCTGACGATCAAAGGGATAAATGGGCGTTGTTGCTAAATGAACACTCAAAATAGCACGGTACGTTACCATAACAAAATAAATTCTTTTAATCGCATCATAGGAAAATATGTGACAGAAGGACATACATGTTGCTTGTTTTTGTTGATAAATTGTGCTGATATTTGTTAAAATTAATATACGTAACCTTTAATCAAACTCAAAATTTTTACTATATGCTCGTTGAGGTGGCGTTGCTTCCAAAAATATTTGAACTGCATTGCCCTTACACTCGTGTGGGCACCATGTTTTTTCAGTGTATTCCGAACACACCTACATGACCACCCGGGGGGGGGGGTTAACGCCTACCATTTTCGCTCACACACTGTGTACACTCCAGACAATACACCCTAATACACTGTTTTGAAAGCTAAGATTTGAATTTCAAAAGGTAAATATATCTTCGCCTAGGCCTATTAAAAGTTATCTGTAAGTTTGTTGATTTTCAATTAAAAGTTTCGATTCTGCGTCATGAATACCTCCAGTCAGTCCAGTCAATTATTTGAGGTAATATAATTCGTCGCGCATCTCTCTCATAATCCTGTACTAAGCCAACTTAACCAACAACACACTCAAATACAGAATAATATTTAACACAGTGTTTTGTTCTTCTTTTTTTGTCACTCAATAACTTTCTTCATAAATTAATCATGTAATACGACATTCATCCCTTGTTTGGTAGCATGTCAGCATGTAGAACCAAACATATTGATATTTATGTGTGCGGACACATTTTGGTCGTTGCCCCTATAGCGTATAAAACCATACTTCATGCAGACGTTTGTGATTTCTAGTTAAACCCACTGTTGGAAATAATGTAAAAATCAGTGTTCAGTATAAGGAAATTGCGTGTGCAAATTCGCTGAATAAAGGTATCTGGAGAAGCTCTGTGCAGTAAGAAAGGAACAGTGTTTGGTTTTCTGTCAGTATGCATTGACTGTATAACATCAATGCAAATCTCAATTTACAAAAAGCACTCGGGCATATCCAGTGTTTGAGATACAACAGATAGTAAGACATTTGTACTGATACGGAAGCCTATTTTGGCGAGTATATTTGCTACCTCTATAGGGAAATTAAGAAGTTAGATGTGTATGAAGCTGTAACACAACATGTACTATAAAATCTATTATAAGTAGAAAATGTCACCATACCCAAGACAGTGAAGTGAAACGTACATTACTCTATGTGAAATATATGAAGAAATCCAACATAGTCCAATAAAATAATCCTAAGGCATATAACAGCAGAATGTACATTTCTCTTGCCACTTTCAATTAACCCATTATTTAAAATTAATAATTAAATAAAAGGACACTAACCCAACCAACTAAACAACCAACCTAACAATCAGCCAACTAATCAAGCAAATAGGAATACGCAAATGGAAACAATTAATTACAAATAACTAACCAACAACACACACATCCACAATCAATCAATCAGTCAGTTATTCCAGGTAAATATTCTGTATAAATTTCTTGAACAACTGAAATAAGAAAATCACATAAATTCAAAATTTATTATTGTACTTGTCCTTTAGCAAAACGATACAACATTATTTTCAGTCATTACATTACTTCTTTTGCATTTGCAGATCTCTGTTGGAGTGAGTATATTCACACTGACAGCTATTGGAGTCGACCGTTATCAGGCAGTCACTAACCCAATCAAAGCGAAAGTGTCAACGTCAAGAACCAAGTTTATCATACTCGGCATCTGGTTATTATCACTTATCATATCAATAGAACCACTGATCAACGCGAGGGCTGTGCTGAAGGAATCCCGTAGCGGTGACTGGTACTACCAATGCGATGAACATTGGTCACATCAGAGCACCGCCATCGTTTACGAAATACTCATGTTTATATTCGTATTCGTTGTACCACTTGGAATACTTTGTTGGGCGTACAGTACAACGGCGATACGTATCTGGAGAAGGTCGTTGCCAGGCAACGCCCATAATGACAGGGATGCTGCTCATCTTGCCGCGAAGAAAAAGGTAACCTTGTCACACTGTATAAATGTAATCGCGATGGGAAAACATATAATAAGTATTCAAACTCCCGTAGGCTGAGAAATATTAGGTACTCTCACTCTCTAAAGTTTGATCAAATATTGGCCTCTATACATTTCTTTATCAATACTTATCCTTAATTTGCAGATTGTTTACCCATATTTGCAGCCTTGGCAACCGTTATATTAGGTTTATATTTTTTTGTATTTTGTTGGAATTGACATGTAATGACATTTTACTTCGTAATTTGTACCGACAATTGTAATTTTATATATATAATGTTATCTTCACATCTCTGGGAAGTACAAATGGGTCATGTGTTTGAGACTAGAAAAATATACATTTTCGTCGTACCATTCGAAGTTTTGAACAACATCAAGTCAATAAGCCCATATATTGAGAAAATCAGTTGCATATACCGTTATTATCTATATTGTTCGCATTTGCCCTCTTGTCTACATTAATATTCTTTCTGTGTAATTAGTCGACGATATCTGCATTTCTAACTCATAATAAACGCTGATGATATTGTTAGCAGGGTCCCAAGAGTCACCATAATGGTTCTATGCAGACGGATACAAATTACACTAAAAAACATTCATATAATGCCACGTGGAAGAAATGACAAATAAATGCGCAAAGCTATAAAAAAGGAGTCAAATAATATGAAAGATATTATCATCTTTCGTATAAAGGCTCATACGACAATATATATTCAATAATATTGTATACCTGTATGGTTTGTCTGCCTATATGAACATAATAGATTAGAAAGGTTGTTCCGTATGGAAATGATTGTACAGCTCCGTAGAATGAAGAGTTTATCAAACTGTGAGAATTCATGAAAAGAAAATTATAACTTGACACATCTTTAAAAATGCTAACTGCAATAGTGTTTCTGAAAAAATAAAAAAAAATCGGTATAAAAAGGAAAGGGTCTAACTGACATTGAGAAATAAACAAAACTAAAACTAAGAGAAAGGTGCTAGATCTCGGATATATGTTGTTGGCGAACCATAACAGCCACTCTGATGGGGTTCCACACGCAGATATATACGTCTGGACAACACTTTGATATAACATAATATAACATAAGTGGATCCGACAGCCGTTGTTGAATATATATATATATATATATATATAGATATATATGTATAGATAACAAAAGAATAACAACGCGAAATATGTCAGCTGAGTTAAATCATGACATGACAGAACGTCTCACTTATCTCATGACTAG